ACAGTAAGAAGCAATGAGATAATCAATCCAATATTTTAAATCCTCTGTTTTATGTTTATTTAAGACAAAGTGGGCTTCTAATATGTCCGAAAAATTGTAAACCCAGGACTGGGCTTCTATTATAGGGTGGGCTTTTATTCTGTGAGGAGGAGAGGGTATTTGAAATGATAACATCAATATCAATTAACAAGTATAATGATCATAAAAAATAGATAAACAAATTGTGCGTATCAAAGCGCTGTTGATTTTTATTTTACTATCTAATAATGGTTTGAGAGAAGCAACTATTGCAAAACTTTTTGATCATTACTCGATCTGATAACATTTACAAAATCTCATAGCAAAAAAAAAAGTAGAACTTATCGTTTCGAGCGTGCTCAGGACGTGGGTGTGTATAGTTATACAGGAGTTACCCACACTCACATCTTGCAACCCTTTAACACCACCAGAAACGACAATTTTAACTACTCCAACTACAGCCACAACAACAATCATAACAACAACGGTCACTACAACAAGTAAAGTCACAACTATAACAACTTCAACTACAACAACCTTAAGGACAACTATAACTACGACGACCTCATCTCCGATTAAAACAACAACTACATCAGGTAGATAGGAATGTTACATTATGAGAAGAAGATTCAAAAGGAGTGGATTGCTGAAACAAAATAAATGCAAATATTTTGTGCTTTCGCAGATATATACAGTTTGAGAGTAATATAGCTTGATAATTTGAGTTTGCCAAGTTAATTATGTTAGGAGAATTTATGCATATCTGTGATGTTTTCAAAAAAATGGGCCGCTTGCTTTTATAATTTAAACACTTTTTCATTCTTTGAAGAAACAATACAGAAGTAATTTTTTCACATATTCTGTCCAAAATATTATGAAAACAGCGAACACATGTAGAAATTCTTTGGCTAAAATTTTTCGTGTGCTTTGACTTTTATTTTATTCTCTGCTTTCAACGTCATATTTCACAATCGGCCAAATATTTTTTTTTTCGTATGATCTAGTTTCTGGTAACATAGCTGACTCATTCATCATGGAATGTGAATTATCAACGATATTTTTTTATCAATATCGCTAGCGTTTAAGTTTATTATTTTGTTCAAAACATCATTTTTTGCAAAATTTGATTGAAACAAGGAATCATTAGTTAAAGAACAATGAACTATCGATCATCTCTCATTGGCTGCTTAATTACATTTATTTGGTTATCACGAAAGGAGAGGTGTTCTGAGGTTCTTTATTGTGACAAACTTTGACGTATACTTTTACGCTTTGCTTAAACTTAGAAATCATTTAGCTCATACTTGCCTGCGTCTGTCCTAGTCTGACTTTATTAGGTTAAAAAAATGACTGCTCTATTCCTTGATACTATGGGTGCATTAAATCCAAATCCGGTCAAATCCAAAACCATTTTTATGTTTGGGTTTAGATTTGACTGGGTTTTACTAGATTTGGATTTGACTGGATTTCGGAATTGGATGTGACAAGATTTGATTTGACTTGGATTTGACATACCACTTACGAAGATTGTAGGTTTTCAGTATCAAAGTTCATCAAATCCGACCAAATCTTTGTATGATTTTTATTCAGTTTTCTTTGCTGTATCCGATAGTAGTACTAGATTTCGTCTAATGTTAAACAAAGTTCCAAGATTTGACAGGATTTCACAACATTTGTGATTTTTTTCCAGCTTTTTCATCACATCTTATTAAACCTTAGAACTTTGTTTAACATTAGACAAAATCTAGTACTACTATCGGATACAGCAAAGAAAACTGAATAAAAATCATACAAAGATTTGGTCGGATTTGATGAATTTTGATACTGAAAACCTACAATCTTGGTGAGTGGTATGTAAAATCCTGTCACACCCAATTCTCAAGCCCAGTCGAATCCAGTCAAACCCGCTCAAACTCAGTCAAATCTAGGATTTGGGTTTGACTGGATTTGCGTTTGGTGCACCCCTACTTGATACAAAAAATAAAATCATTCTACTGTATTCAAATCCACACCTGCAACATATAGGTAACTTAGAAATTATGGAGTTTCCGAATAATCGAAGAAGTGATATTACTTAGGCATCTTTGCTTGTAGCTAGGAAAATATACTCTATGGTTTTTTAGTATTATTGCCTTTCCCTCGGAGACTATGAAAACCCATCAAAATAGTCTTGGTGTTCTCCTCAACACCTTCCGTTATTAGAACTCTGGAAACATGGAAAGTTACAAAAAGTTGGATTAAAACTTCAATTCATTATTTTCTTAGAAAGTATAAGTGAGTTTCCCAAAAAGCTTCAATGATTTGGGAGAGTATTTGAAGATACAGTATTCGACAGAGTCTACATTTTCAACTAAGCGTTTCTATTTTGTAATAATACAATTCAATAAATAGATGACGATATTCCAGTGTTTTGAACATGTTATTCTTTTCTCCTTATGTAAAGTTGTAATTTAAAAGAAAAGGATTGTATCACGGTTTGCATCCGAACGCGATCATTGAAAGAAGCAAAAATTTACTACCAATAGAAGAAAAGGTCTCAGAAAATGTTGGATTGATAAATTAGCTATGGTTAGATCTTGTTTGATACATATCTGTTCCAAACATCATGCTATTAAACCGAAAGTGGTATCATACTCTATTCACAACAGTTTTACCCTATATTCAAAATCTTATGCAATTTGAAGGTAACCGGTTCAAGATCGGTTTTCGAAGTTGACAGTTTCACATTTTTTCAAAACAGTTTTGGCAGAGAGGAAAAAATCTTCAGTGTAGTATCTATCGCAGGAAGTAGAAAACAGGCGAAAAACTGTATATCTCTTTCTTCGTCATTTTTTCATGAGTCATTTGAAGGGGAAATACATCCTTAATAGGGACGTTTTTATCAGCAGCTATTTTCTTCGTTTTAGATCGTTAATGAAACCGCGTCACACATTTTTCACGATTCTCTCAGTTATCGAAATGTTTTTTCTTCTTTTTATTGAGTTTTCTCCTAGCTCATCTCGACGTTCATTCCTAAGTTTTGTTTAACATGATTACCTTATATTAACAAATCATAATTATTGTTTTCTTTCAGCCCAGTCCCAAGAATCAATATATCAGTGTTACATTTATAATAATAGTCATATATACACTTGGCACTTGAAAAATAATGGCTATGGTCCTGAAAATTATCAAGATTGCTATCGACTGGGATTTTTGCCGCTGGTCAGAAATCAGTTTGTTAACTATAAAGTCACAATTGAAGGGAATAGGATGCTTGTGGTATGTTTTTTTGCAGAATATTACGTCACTATCTTTAAAGTCTTGTTATCGTGGAGCTTGATTTATATTTCTATAATGGAATATCGAAAATTCCAATTTGTTTGGTAGTGTTCGACAACTTTGCACTTTATCCAGATGACGAGAACAGATGCCGAAGCAATGGTGAGTAAGAAAGGTCATTTGACTATTTTCTATGGAATCTAGACCACTTGCCCGCAAAACATCTGCTCGCCGGACAGATCCCCGCAAGACATTTGCCCGTATGATGCTTGCCCGCACCCTCACCCTCAATATTGTCCATTGCGGGCACGTATCGCACGGGCAAGTGTCTTGCGGGCATCTGTCCGGCGGGCAACTGTCTATCAGGCAAGTGGCCGTAACCCTTTTCTATGATGCTTTTAGGTATAACATGGAGCACAGCAAACATTGCTACTCAGTATATGCTTTCAATATCGTACACAAAAGCGAGTTTTTCGACAACCGTACAATATGATGTAAATATACAAATTTTACCACTTCTGTTGATATTTTTCTCGTATATTGTTAATATAGTTTCATGGGTTTTATTCCATCACTGTAAAATATTCCTTCTTACCTGTTATTTTGAACTACCCCTATTTTAAAGTTTGCTTGTTGAAAGTAGTATACAACTTGTCAAAACTGTTCTTACTTGCAATCTGCTATTAAAAACCTTGAATATTTGACAGAAAAGATCATTGATTGTATTGCAGCTATTTCAATGGGATACTCTGATATCGTCAAAACAATTAGAATGTAGTCTGATTCCGTCTTTATTCACAACTATCTATCCACCTGCCATTTTTTCAACAGAAACCTTCTACATATTGTCATGTCCTATCTCATCCTACATTTTTAGATCAGAACTTGTTCTACTTCATCTTATTTCATTCGAGTTTCTCGTCAAAAGCAGTCTTCTTTTACATCCTGTGATATTTACCCATCTATTTCCAAGTAGCACCCTAATTATATATAGAACGTGATGAAATTATTCAAGATGTATCTTGCGTGTATGTCTATGGTGCATAGATTAAGTGTTAATAGAGAGGGTGTGGGTAAGTATAAGTGTGAATCTACCTATTACTATTTCTCACCCACACCAACACCCAATGTAGCATTCTGAGATGAATGAATTTTAGGAATTATTAGAAATATTTTCAATTTGCTATCATCGTACCAATGAAGTTCGAAATATGTTTTTCATGAACATTGCAAGACATTGGTAAAACTCTTTTATTTTTTATAATTCTATGAAGCACGAAAGGTCTATTCGTCTAGCGCGCTGATGTGACAACGTCAGACTTTTAGGCTCGATGGCCATCTCGGGACTAGTGGTACGCTATAAACATTAATCAAAAGATATTCTCAGAATTAGAAATGGATGATTACATTGGACTAAAGACTAAACTATATGAATAAGTCGGTGTATTAGAAAATTAATGAAGATGCTTGCTTTTTCTACAAAGTTTCATGTTTTACTCAAGAATAGTTTTTTCAGAATCATTGAAATTATATACTTAAAACAAAGAAAATGAAAGATGCTTTCGATTGATTTTATAGTGTGATTGACTTGTCATTAACTGATATTGAATTTTATTTGCAAGATTTTTTTTCGAGCATAGGCACCCAATGTCCAGATCTACGTGTGGCAGCAACGCTCTTTGGTAATGAACTCAACGGGTATTTGTACTAAGTCGGACTCAATGTGTCGACTGACGAAGGAAACAACTGAATCAGAACGTGAAGATGAAGATATTCAGCCTCAAAGACAAGCTATTACAAATAGTCAAGCACAAGCCATTTGTGAAGTATATGTGAATGCATATCTGACCAGAAGCAATCGAACACCATATCAGCGAAGTGTCACAATGAACGATACTATTGCAAGTGTCCTGACTAGCTGTGAGGCAGATTTAGTTTTTACAGGAATACCTGAGGTTAGAGATAATGAAAAACATTAGTCAAAATAAATGTCTTTCTTGAATAGGCAGCACAAAGTAGTATCAGTGTGTTGATGATGGATGAACTTATCAATGAGCGGGCATCGTTCAATTCGAGTCAAACAGCGATCAGCGCGCATATCGAAGAAACGCAGCTTGAAGTTTCAAAATTGTTTGCATTACCAATCAGTACTCAAAAAGAAGTACGATGGAAATCTTGGATAATGTTTATGAATACTTTTTGTGCTTTCAGACCAAGTCATATTCAACTAAAGCTGGTAAATCTCTTTTCCCAGAATAAATGACAAGCAATGTCTTAGAAAAACAGCAGAAACAAAGCACTTCTTTGACTAATTATCGATTAATAATTACGCAAAAATCAAGTATTTTTGTGATTTATTAATAAATTAGAGCATGATCTTGTTATAAAATCGATGAACCTTTGTTTAAGTATGGCCTTGTAATCGAGTAACTCTCTTTTCTCGGAAATGATGGAATGTGGGTCTTCTTATTATACATATTAAGGAAGTAAGAACAAGTTTGATACTTCAATTCATCGACACTAGCTTCACACCTACGCTCTCATCTTGATATATATATTCACAATCCGCTTCTCATTACATACTAACAATGCTATTTCGATTTCTGAACAAGCTAATTTCAGAAATATCAATGGATAAGAGGATCATTTTAAGAAAACGTCCGTAACTACTAATTCATAAGAAAGAAGCTTCTAGATGATAGTGTAGAATTTTCTAAGAGATTTCTAAAACTTCTTTAATATCGATATGGATAATAATTGATTTTATAAATGCATATAAATATAGAATTTTATCTACAAAATCTATCAAGATATCCGCTAACTGTCAAGTAATATGAAAAACTACTACACAGTTTTCTTAGAATTTCTTTCTTATACTTTATTAATGATTGAAGTTTGATAGAACACTATTAAGATTCTATTTGAGAATGAAAAGAGCGACTTATCGAATATATGTTGTAAGTTGTATGTTGCTTTCTACTTGAACTGGGCTAATATCCGATATCCATAAAAGTTATAGATGCCTGCGAGTGCAATGAACGCAACGAAACAAGTCCTACCAGCCACATACGATGTGTCGGTTTTGTTCTCGACCATGGTTCACCCATATTTTGGTGAAAAGTAGTTGGTATTAGTCAATCTGTAGGATATATTGATGGAGATATTGTAGCCATATATTAAGATTAGTAAAATTAACACTATCTTTCGGAGCGTTTCCATTGTTGAGACAGGAAGATACTTGGATGAGTATGACAGAAAAGTCTGGATCTCTTTGTAGTAAAGTTTTTCCATTTTTCATATCTATGTAGGACTACTTGCAGTTGTATGTGATAAATTTTAGATCGTCTTCCATTACCATTGATTGCCATAATTCTACCACTTCATTTTAATTAATCTAAATCTTCTTCTATTTGTAGAAATTAACACGAAACCTGCTCCTCTTAGTTCCTACAAATGTGCAGTGTATCCAGATTTGTATGTCCAACCATGGCATCCAACAGGTCAAGCGTCACCACCTATTCGAAGTTGTTTAGGAACTTCGGGCAACTTCGAATTAGTTAAAAACAAATATGTACGATTTACGATTCATATGAGTGCTGCAGTAATTGATGAAGTATGTACTTATTTAAAGTTGTATTAAATAATAATTTATTCTATGTTAGTTAAAAATTACTCTCTTTGACAAAACATCAAATACTGCAATCTGCACTGTCTCAGCTATAGGGCAAGATGCTGGTTGGATGGATTGTGAGCAGAATGGTAAAAACAATTAACTATTTATACATAGAATAAACGCAATGTTTCTATAGGAATTTATCCGTCTTTAGTAAAAACAGCAACACATGAAACACTAATTGTTTATTATGCTAAAGCAAATTTTACAACAATTGTAACACGTGATGTAAGTATATTTGTACTCTGAAGTCTAGTTTTTCAATATTGAGCGTGTAACATTAAATTAAACTTGAATTAATTGCATAGAATTAGATTATCAGATTGTGAAATTTTTCTTTAAAAAAAATAAGCAATGTCAGTAGAAAAAAAGTCATTTACAAAGACTTTGGTAGTTCGGTTCTACGTTTTGATGATTTTCCATAAATATGATCCTAGTCTATTGACACTTATGACATTGAAAGAATAAAACTAATTACTTTTTTCTTAGTCAGCAAAGTCAATTTCATGATTGACTGAAATAGAAAGGATTTATCATTAACCTGCGTAAAACTTTCACACTAAAAAGATGATAAATCGTTTGTTTTCTTTTGTTAGAAATATTTTCTGAATACACGCCTTGAATCTCAAAACTTCAATATTTTTTGAACTTGATGAAAACTATCAAAAAAGTATCAATGAAAAGCGATCATTTTTTATCGACCTTGTGCTTTATGCCAGTTAAAAAAGCTTCTCTTCACAAAAAATATTTTACCAACAAAATATTTAGTTGAAAACAGAATATATTTTTGTATATTGTGATCTCTTTTAATACTAGATTCGAACTAATGTCCGTCGAGTGAACATTAATATCTATCAAATTACCGCATTGGTGGATCAATCAACTGGTATTTGCGACGTATCATCCTGTACAAGAACTAACCATATGGAAGCAACAAATCCTTTCCGGCGTGGCATCAATTAATACCACAATAATAATAATGACTGCTAGGATAACCAATAATTACTTTTTTTCTTAAACAGAAGCAATAACTTTTTATGCAGAAGTTCTTCATAAAATCTGAAATAAATGATTTTTCCTTCTTTTTCCGTAAATGCAGGTGCCTATTTGATAGGTTTTGCAGGCATTGATTTTGTCTTTCAATGGGCACCAAGGTTCTGCATGGAGCCCGATATTATTAATTTTAAACACATCGAATGTTTGACTTGAGATCATTTCGATGCGCAGTGTTCGACTGGTCGAATCTAAAAAAAGGCTCATTTTTCAGTTATCGAAATCTTTTGAATATACGAGAAAGAAGAGATTTAACTATTAGTATAACAATGACTGGGAAGGGATTGTCGTCTATTTCGCATGTCGATATGGATGTGTGTGAATGAGGGATTCCGGAACTTCGCCAATTTTGACTTTCGCCAATTATTGGCGA